TCAGCCGGACCCTCCCCTCCCACTCCCCCTCCTCTCTTGCCCTACTGCCCGCACAGGTACACAGCGAAGAGAAACACAGAAAATGTAAGGTATACAGAGAAATTTCATTAACGATTTCAAAATGAGCAAATGCACAAAGCTTAAATAACCAAAAACAAAATAATAAAAAACAGGAAATATAAGACAAACACAAAAATTTAATGACAATTCATTTGGTATTGTAAAAGTGCTGGGATTGCTTGAAGTTGAGGTTGAAAGTCTGCAAACAGAAGAAATTAAAATATTAAGAAACTTTCAGTTCTTATAAAGCACATTTGGAATATCATGTTACACAAAAACAATGAACTTACTAGGAGTGATATTGAGCTGTGGGTTGGGGTAGGTTGATGAGGTTGAGGTCATAGCTGTGATAAACAGAGAAACAAATTATTACTAAATTTTTAATGCTTAACATTAAGTACAACCTATTTGCCAAGTTTGATGAACATTGGCCATACCACTTTTGAGTAATACACTTTACCGTTTCTGAATTACAGTTCAACCAAATATTTTTCTGACTTGGCAAGTATATTTTTAGAAAACTGTTACTGGTGGTTGAAAACTATTTTTACAGAGTGTTATTGTTTGTGAAATAAAATTACATCTTGCTACAAGGCTTCACTTCAGTACTTTCTTTAGTAAGGATCTTACGCAACTTTAGTTCGAGTAAAATGTTTCCAGTTACATTGGGTGTTATAAAAAATATAGAATGTTCTAACCCAATGTGTTTCTAATCAATTGCAACATTATTATTAAGAAATTGTTTCAGATTGTTTACCTGGAAACAATTTCCAAAATATAATGTTGCAAATGATACCAATAACATTGGGATAAAACTTTCTTTTTTTAAACACCAAATGTAACTGGAAACATTTTACTCGAACTAAAGTTGCGTAAGATCCTTACTAAAGAAAGTACTGAGGTGAAGCCCTGTAGCAAGATGTAATTTCATTTTACAAACAATAGCATTATGTAAAACTAGTTTTCAACCACCAGCAACAGTTTAAAAAAAAAATACTTGTCAAGTGAGAAATGTATTTGGTTGAACTGAACTTAAGAAACGGTAAAGTGTATTACTCAACAGTGGTACATATGGCCAATAATCACGAAAGATGGCACATAGGGCCTTGACAAAATTTAATTCTAATAGGAGGCTACTGTTAAAAAAAATTACATCATAACTATGAGGATCTCACTTTTATAGACTTTTTATTGTTCCTAGACTTTCTGTAAAAACTTTGGTCCGTAAATAAGGGCACGCATGCTGGTTTAATACCCACTCATCCGATATTGTATTACACTCAGAACTTTAAGAGTTCATGTGAAAAATATATTTAGTTTTAAAGCTATTTAGTACATCTCACTCCAGTCTTTCATAAATAACTGTTCACTTCAAAAAATAATTTCAAATTGTGCACCCACAACTGATTATACAGATGGAAACATAATAGTCTTTAACAGGTAAATATTTTTGTGAACTCACCGCACTTTAAGACTT